ATCTTGGCTCACTGTAACCTCTGTCTCCGGGGTTCAAGAGATTCTCCCTCCTCAACATATTTATTATTCTCTGGAAGACTTTTATAAGGTTGTTGTGGTTTCTCCCATAATTGGAAGAAATCACTGGTAAAACCATCTATACTTGAGATTTTCTTTAAGGAAAAAATTTTTTTTTTTGAGATAAAGTTTTGCTCTCGTTGCCTAGGCTGGAGTGCAATGGCCCGATCTCCACTCACAGCAACCTCCGCCTCTCAGGTTCAAGTGATTCTCCTGCCTCAGCCTCCTGAGTAGTGGAGATTAGTCTGCATGTGCCACCACGCCCGGCTAATTTTGTATTTTTAGTAGAGACAGGGTTTCTCTGTGTTAGTCAGACTGGTCTTGAACTCCCGACCTCAGGTGATCCGCCCACCTCAGCCTCCCAAAGTGCTGGGATTACAGGCATGAGCCACTGCGCCTGGCCAAGGAAAGATTTTTAATAATACGTTCCATTTCTTTACTTGCTTTGGGGCTATTTGGATATTCTGTTTCTTTCAGCATTAGTAATTTGTATGTTTAAAGAAATGTGTCCATTTTATACTGTCATGGTTTTTTTTGTTGTTGTTGTTGTTTTTTGGGGATTTTTTTTGAGACAGGGTCTCACTCTGTTGCCCAGGTTGGAGTGTCGTGGTGCAATCATGGCTCGCTGCAGCCTTAAACTCGTGGGCTCAAGCAATCCTCTCACCTCACAGCCTCTTGATTAGCTGGGACCACAGGTGTATGTCACCACACCCAGCTTATTTTTTAATTTTTTTGTAGAGATTTCTTCTTTGACCTATAGATAATTTAGAAATGTAATTTTAGGCCTGGTGCAGTGGCTCATGCCTGTAATCCCAGCACTTTGGGAGGCTGAGGCAGGAGGATTGCCTGAGCCCAGGAGTACAAGACCGGTGCAAGACCAGCCTATGCAACATGGTGAGATGTCATCTCTATTTAATTTTAAATTTAAAAAATAAAAAAGAAATTGCATTTTAATTTTCCAGGTAGTTGTTTTTCTAGTTATTTATTTATTATTTTTGTTATTGTTGTTAATGATTTGTAGCTTATTTTTGTTGTGGTTAGAAACCATACTTTGAAAAAAAAAAAAAAAAAACATACTTTGCCATCATCTTTTTTTAAGTATGTTGAAGCTTCTCGTATGGCTCAGTATGCAGGGAGTCTTTGAAAAGAAGACTCACATTTTGTTGTTGCTAGGTACAATATTCTGTATTAGTCATTTTGGTTGTTTGTAAATTGCACCATTCAAATCTTACTAATTTTTGGTCACTTTTTCTGTCAAATTGCTGAGAGAGATGTGGATCTCTAACTCTGATTATGGCTTTGTCTTTTTCTCCTTTTAATTCTGCAAATTTTTGCTTTATGTTTTTATTTTATTTTATTTTATTTTATTTTATTTTATTTTATTTTATTTTATTTTATTTTATGGCAGAGTCTTACTCTACTGCTAAGGCAGGAATGCAGTGGTATGGTCATGGCTTACTGCAGACTTGACCTCCTGGGCTCAAGTGATCCTCTCAGTCTCCCAAGAGGCTGGGACTGTAGGCACACACCACCACACCCTCGTTTTTTTGGTTTTGTTTGTTCGTTTTGTAGAAAATGGGTTTTGCCATGTTGCCCAGATTGGTCTTGAACTCCTGAGCGCAAGCTATCTGCCTGCCTCAGCCTCCTAAAGTACTGTAATTACAGGCTTGAGCCACCATGCCCTACTACTTTATGTGTTTTGAGGTTATTGCTGGGTACATAGAAGTTTATGATTGTGGTTCCTTCCTGTTGGATTGATCCCTTCATCATTATATAATATTACTTTAATCTATAATAGCATTCTTGCCATTAATTCGTTCTCTGAAATTAATGTGTCTTTTTTAAGGACTGTACTTCTTTGTTTAATCCAGCCTAACAAAATTTGTCTTTTATTAGAAGAATTTTGTCTAAATCAGGGGGTGTCCACTCTTTTGGCTTCCCTGAGCCACACTGGAAGCAGAAGAGTTGTCTTGGGCCACACATAAAATACACTAATATTAATAATATCTGATGAGCTAAAAAATAAATTGCAAAAAAATAAAATCTCCTAATGTTTTAAGAAAGTTTACAAATTTGTGTTGGGCCTCATTCAAACCCTGCCCTGGGCTGTGGACAAGCTTGATCTACATACTGTAATATAATTATTAATATAGTTAGGTTTATATGTATAATCTTACTGTCATTTGCTATTTGGCCCATATTTTTTTTTCTTTTTCTTATTTTTTACCTGCTTTTAGATTAAATATTATATTTCCCCTCTAACTTGTTATATATATATATTTTATTTGTTTGTTTGTTTTAATGGTTATCCTAAAAATTTCAACATCCATCTTAAACTTTTTACAGTATAATGCAACCTATTACTATTACCGCTGTCACACGACTGCTAAAATCTTAGAACCTTTAAACCTTATAAGGCATTTCAGTTACTGTTTTGAACTGTCACTATTAACTTATTTCCTTACATTATTTACCCTGATGTATATTTTTTTATGCCCCAGAACTGAGTAGATGATATTGTGTATTTCTTCCTACATTTCCATGTTTATGATCTAGGATAATTTGCTTCTGCCTGAATAATTTCTTTTAATTTTCTTTTAGTACAGGCTTGTAGGTGAGAAATTTTTTGTGTACAACTTTTAAAGTTTCACCTTTATTTTTGAAAGATAGTTTTGCTGGGCATAGTATTCTAGATTGGCAGTTATTTTCTCTTTGGCCCTTTAACAGTGTTATTCTGTTATATTCTGGCTTCTGTTGTTTCTGTTGAGAAATTTGTCAGTTTACTGTGTTTTGAAGAGCAACTCCTTTTTTTCCTATGGCTGCTTTTATGAATTTTTTCTCCCCCCTTTCTTCTTCCCTTTCTTCCCTAGTTTATGTCATCCTAGGTAGAATTTTCTTTTAACTATATCCTGCTTGGTGTTGGCAGAGCATTCTGAATCTCTAGAATGATTTATTTCACTCGTTTTTGAAAACTCCAGTTACTCTTTCTTTGAATGTTGGATTTATCAATTTCTCCACTTTTCTAGTACTTCTGTTATACATATGTATATATTAGACACTGTGAGTGTATCTCATATTTTCCTTAAACCTCTCTCCCACCTCCTTTCACTACTTTCCCTTTCCCCTTCCTCTGTTTTTTATTCTTTTCTCTTTATGCTTCAGATTGGGTATTTTTTATTGATTTGTCTTCTAGTTTACTCATCCTTTATTCATTCCACTGTTGTCTCCTTTGCTCTAAGACCAAGATACTAAATTCTTATGATTCTTAGACTGATGCGTTGCCAGGTATGCTGAGAGGGCTCTATGTTGAGCTCTTAATTTCACATATTGTATTTTTCGGTTCTAGAGTGCTTATTTAATTATTTTTGTAGTTCCTAATTCATTGGTGAAATGTCGCATCTTCAGCAGTTCTGTACATTTCCCCCTCTATTTTCTATTAGTCAGGATTACTTAATAATTGTCTTTAAATAATTGTCCTTGTGTATTAACTTCACTTGTAAATTATGTTTGAGTCTGATTATCTTGTCTAATTTGCTCTTAATTATTGATCATATTTGTTTGTTCCTTTGCATGTTTAGTAATTTTTTAATTGTGTGCCAGACTTTGTGTATGAAAGAACCATAGAGGCGCTGTGCAGTGTTCCCAGTAGGGATGACATTTTTCTCTGGTGCACTAATTGGTAAGGACCTAATTACCTTAACTAGAGGGGGATTGAGCTATTTTAGCGTTGTGCTAAAGTTAAATAAAACTCAGTGTTCTTGTCATTGCCCTTTTTGTTTGTTACTTCTTTAACTGAGAGCCTACTGAGTATGTTTCCTTGGCCCTGGAAGATTGTGGGAGATCTGTCTCTGTAGAGGTTCCCCACATAGCCCTTCTGCCTATTTATACTGCTTCAAAAATTTGGCAGTTGTCTTGGTGATTTGGTTCAAAACTCTCAAGGTTCAAAAAGAGAGTTTTTACCACCCTATTTCTATGATATCAGGTGCCCTTTCTGAAAGTACTACCAGTCTCTTTTGTATCTTTCCAGAGATATTCCCTTACTCCTTTTCAAGTTCTTCCCTCCACTACAGAACCTTCTCATAAAACAAAACTCTCAAGTGAAAGCCATGTATATGAGACAAACTGTCAACTACTGTGGTGGAGTAGGGGGTCCGACACATCTTCAGTTAAAATAATTCTAGGAGAATGGTATCGCAATGTTCATTGTATCCAAGAAGGTAGAGCATAATGTAGTCAGCAAACACAAAAGATAGTTATTACTTTCTAAGAAAAGTCTCTATTTTTAGCAGTTTGAAAATGATTCTCTGATAAAATCTTTTAATGTGTTTTTGTGCCAAAAATTCAGTAATAACATTTTTTATGTTCTTTTTTTATAAAAGGTAAGTTTTTCAGTTATGTGAAACTCATCCGAAATGATTTTGTAGCTCATGATACTTATTATTTAGGCTTGGTTTTATACTGCATATTATGATTTTAATGAGGTTTTTTTTTTTAAATGAGTGAGAGAGAGAGAGAGAGAGAGTGTGTGTGTGTGTATGAGAGAGAGAGAGAGAGAAAAAAAATCACTATAACATGTTTCAAAAGGATCATAGAATTTTTGTCTGCAAAGGACTTAATTTTATAGATAATTTAAGTGAGGCTCCAGATAACTTAAGTAACCTACTCAAGGTCTTATAGATAATTAATGGCAAATTTGAAATTAAAATTCAGACTTTCTGTCTCCAAAATAATTAGGTTTGATAAAGGTATACAAGTATGCTAGTTATTATAGAAAATGTTGGATCTATAATTAGTTCTTAAAATTAGATAAGCTGTATTATAAATGCCTATTAAAACTGTTCTTTGTATTATATTCTTCAGAGCATTACCTCAATATTTCACTTTTCTATTTTCATTCTTTTATAGAATTGGAAAATATTTAACTCTTAACAAATGAATTCCCCACTTGAACTCTGCCAAATTCCTGTGCCACCTCCTCCTTTAGAAAACTGACCTTAATACAGGTAAAATTAAGACTTTAACTTTTTACAGGATAAAGAATAAATTTTCTATATAGTTAGACATGTTAGCATTTTTGGTAATCTTTGGTGGATAGCTTCTATTAAGCAATTTTACGTAACGTAATAACAATTATTGCCTTTGAATTATATTTTTGAAAGTGTTTCCCTTTTATAAATATGTTTGTAAAAGACCTTCTGTTATCTAAACTTGATATTTATTGAAGGATTGAATTTACTCAGCATAATTGCATTATCTGGGCTACATCTAGATCAATGCTGTCCAATAGAACTTCTTTGATGTTGACTATATTCTATATCTGTGTCATCCAGTATAGGATGCTAAAGTAGCTCTAGCCACAAGTAGCTTCCTATATTAGACAGTGCAGCTCTGGGCTTTTCCTTAGGAAATTTGGTAATTATACTAACAGTATGTCTTAAACGCGTAAGTTTTAGACTTATACCTTGAAATATCGTCATAGTTGCTGATCAAGTTTAAAAATGAGCAGTAGCAAAACCATCATTGGCTATCTCATATGTTGTCCTGATAATTGTTTAGCTTGGTGTATCCCATAATTTTGATCCACTAGAAATCTTTGAGAGGACTTACCACAGTTAGTTTTGCTCACTATTGTATCTTTAATGTTTTACTTGGTATCTAGCATATAATTGGTATTCACAGTGCATATTAGCTGAAAGAATGGATAAATAATTTCTGTACTTTAATGCTACAGGAAAAAAATGCCTCCTAAATTGTTTAAAAATTAAATAATTGTATTGATAATATTTCTATAATAATAGTAGCAAGCATCCATTGAGGACTTAGTTTGTACAGTCACTGTTCTAAGTAAGACCTTATGTGTGCTGATTTATTAAATATTTAAAAATAAACCTTTGTCATAGCTATGTACGTTATTCTCATTTTATAAGTGAGGAATCTGAAGCCAGAGATTAGTTAAGTAACTTTCCCAAGGACACCTAATATTGTACTTAGAGAGCTTAGACAAGTGCTGTGAGTTTTCTTCCTGGCGAGTAGTTCTTTACCTTCTTCAGATCACATTCCAGCAGTTTATTATTTTGTTCATTATGTTGTAGTTAGGGCTTGCTAATAAAGATTTCTATTACCACCTCTGGTACAGTGATGCTCACTTGTAGTCCTAGCTGTAATCCCAAGGCGGGAGGATTGCTTGGGCCCAGGAGTTCAAAACCAGCCTGGGCAACGTAGCGAGACCTCATGTCTAAATAATAGTAATACTATTAATAATAAAAAGGTCGCCATTGTCATAGTAATCAAAAAGATAGTCATTTTCTATGATAGCCTCTTTGTTATGTATTCTGAAACTAAGGTAGTATGGCTGGAATATCAGCTTGAGTTTTTGTTTTTTTTTTTTTTTTTTTTTTTTTTTTTGAGACAGAGTCTCACTCTGTCACTAGGCTGGAGTGCAGTAGCATGATCTCGGCTTACTGCAACCTCTGCCTCCCGAGTTCAAGCGATTCTCCTGCCTCATCCTCCCGAGTAGCTGGGACTACCGGCACCTGTCACCACACCCGGGTAATTTTTGTATTTTTAGTAGAGACAGGGTTTCATCATGTTTTCCAGAATGATCTTGATTTCTTGACCTCGTTATCTGCTTGCCTTGGCCTCCCAAAGTGCTGGGATTACAGGTGTGAGCCACTGTGCCCAGCCAGCTTGAGTTTTTTTAAGTATAGTTTTTACCAGGTGATGGGATAGATGTAATATACAGTAGAAGAAATGATCTTCAGAATTTTATATTGTATGATTAAACATAAAGCTTACAAGGCCAGACATCATAGTGTATGCTGTAATCTCAGCCATTCAGGAGGCTGAAGCGGGAGGATTGGTTGAGCCCAGGAGTTCAAGACCAGCTGGGACAAGATAGCGAGACCCCCATCTCAAGAAAATATAAAAGATACCTTGCAGTCTATTTATAGCTGTGCTCTGTGGATATCTTTACATACTAAAAGTAATGTGCCTAGTTAGAAAATACATGTTTACAGAGAAACACGTGTTTACAGAGAAACTCTGTAAACATATGTTTTCTAACTAGGCACAGTACTTTTAGTGTATAGAGATCTCTACATAGGTCAGTACTATTCTGTTTTTCAAATGAAGGTACTGAAACCTATTTTTAGGATTTTAGATTTAGAAAATAACTAATCTTGTAGGAAACTGAAGCCCAAAGGGTTTAAATGAGTTGTATGAGGACATATAACAGTATGGTTCATTGATTATATATGTTTTTTAAGAACCTGTCTCACGTCCAGAAATCATAGTATGCTTGTTAGTTTTGAATACATAGTAGTGAGCAATACAGAAATGTACCCTGTTCTCTTTGAATTTACAGTCCAGTGGGGAGATAGACAATCTGTAAGTAATGAGGTGTGATAAACAAGTTACAAAACCCAAAGTTCTAGGAAGCAAATAAACCTTGTGTTGGAATGGAGAATACTGGGGACTGGAAAAAGAGCTGCTATTTACATACAGTGGTTCAGAAACGCTGCTGAGACTTAGGGGATCAGAAGGGGCCAACTACTTCAACAGCAGGAGCAGGACAGCATTCCAGGCTGAAACAGTCTGCACAGATGCCCTGGAGTTGAGGTGCACGTAAAGCTGTAGAGAAACTGAAAGGAGAGTATGGCCAGAACATAGAAAGCTCTGGGGAGAGTGATATGAAGCATAAGATGGGGGCCAGTTTACATAGTGCCTTTTTCAACCATACATTTCAAAATTATGGCATTAGATTCAAATCTGAGTTCTGCCATTTAAACTGTGTTACCTTGTATAGGTTACACAACCTATTTACACTAATTTTCTTATCTATTATATGAGAATAACAAGCTACTTTGTAGTACATAGTATCATGAAGATTACTTACATAATGCTTATAGTAAATACTTATATAATGTTTATCTCATGATAAGAACTGTTTTAAGTATACAAAAACTATATGAAGTAGGTACTGCTATTATTCCCAGTTTTGAAATGAGAGAAATGAGGGACAGAGGGGTTTGGGTATAGCTACTAAGAGGGTAAGAGGGTTTAAATATAGCTAGGAAGTGACCTTAACTTTAGACAACCTTGTTCCAGAGTTAGTGATCAAAGTGTGATCCTTAGGATCCTTGAAGGGGGTTCATGGAGGTCAGAATGATTTTTCATATTAATATAAAGGTAGTATTTGCCGTCTTCACTGTCATTCTGTCATAAATATACAGTGAAGTTTTTCTGCAACAGATTGAATGCAGAAGCAATTATGAGGCCTGGCATGGTGGTTCATGTCTATAATCTCAGCACTTTGAGAGGCTGAGGTGGGTAGATCGCTTGAGGTCAGGAGTTTGAGACCAACCTGGCCAGCATGGTGAAACCCCATCTCTACTAAAAATACAAAAATTAGCCAGATATGGTGGCACATGTCTGTGATCCCAGCTACTCAGAGGCTGAGGCAGGAGAATTGCTTGAAACCCAGGAGTTGGAAGAGGTTGCACTGGGCTGAGATCATGCCACTGTACTCCAGTCTGGGCAACAAAGTGAGCTCTGTCTCAAAAAAAAAAAAAAAAAAAAATAAGAGAACCAATTATGAGATTTGCAAACAAAACAAAACAAAAAACCAACGTTATTCTTACTAAATTTGTTTTTGTTTTAGAAGAATATAATTTTCACTTTAAAATGTTAACATGTAATAGGCTTATTTTCAAATGAATTAATAAATGAACTTTTTTAATGAAAGAAATTCTGAGACCAAAAAAAGCTGAGAACTGCTGCTGTATACCACTAAATTCTGCTGCCTGTTATTAAATCAGATAAAACATAGGAAACATCTGGTGCCATGTTTATACTTGATAGGCTCAGAAGTAACTTATTTCGTCACTTTTAAGACACTTTTTTTTTCACATTTTGATATTTTTGGAAAGCGAGGTGTGACTTGTTTGAAGAAACTTTTCAGTGACCAGCCAGGTCGTGAAGTAGTAGTAGTCATCTATACTTGGTATATCTAGAATTTAGCTTTATGTATTATTTTATTCGGTTATTTCAGCTGATACTAGTAGTACCACATGGGGTTGAAATATTAATTGGATTTGTATCCCTATTCGTTGCTTAACATGTCTATAATATATCACTGTATGATACAGCTTTGAAGTGAACAATTGTCTTAGTAGAAGATTGCCTGACATATGTCAGTTAATTCAAAGACAACAAAATTGCCAAATTGCTCAGTCTCTAATATCAAACCTGGGCAAGGTTGGTGTCACTAATTCATGCATCTGGGACAACATCTACATGTCAAAAATTTCTGATGATATTTGAAGAAGACATTTAACTTCTATTTAGTATTTAGTTTTCCAAGTTAAATTATCAAGTTTAACCAAGTAGAAAACAGAAATCTAAGATTTTGTTATGGCCAGAAATAACACTGAGTGCTAAAGGTGCTCAAAATCAACAGGTGATTGAATGCCTGCTATATGCCTGGTACTTGGGATATAATGCCTGTCTCTGCAAAATACAGATTCTAGTAGAAAAGACAGACAATAAGTAAAAAATAGGTGATAATTACAGATTGTGCTAAATGCTGTGAAGAAAATGGGCAGAGTGATGAGGTTGGAGGAAGGAGGAAGGTTGGGGTAGCTGATTTAAAGTATATAAGGAAAGCTTCTTTGAGGAGGTGACGTATGAACTGAGTCTAATCCAGCCATATACAGAGCTGGGAGAGAATGCCAGGTGGCAGGTACAAAGACCAAACGTGGCCAGAAACATAAAGGGCAATTTTTTAAAAGTGGCATGTGATTATATGAAGGACCTTATGCTCTTGTCTTAGTTAAGCTTTTTTTTCTTTTTCACAAAAGATTATTTCATATTTTCTCCTTAAATTACTTCATAAATACTGTCTTAAAACTAGTAGTTTTATAGAGTTGGGAAACTATGATGTGTTATGATTATAATTATTATTAATAGCACTATATTTCTCTATTTAAAGGTATTTCATTTTTAGTCATTTTTTAAAATGACCTGGGTGGAAACTATAGAGATTTAATGTGCCAAATTTGTGGTTATAGGAGAGCTCAAATAGGAATTTAAAATAGTAATTTAGCCTGGAGATGATACTTTTTATTTTATTTTATTTTTTATTTTTTTGAGACAAAGTCTCGCTCTGTTTCCCAGACTGGAGTGCAGTGGCATGATCTCGGCTCACCACAACCTCCACCCCCCGGGTTCAAATGATCCTCTTGCCTCAGCCTCCTGAGTAGCTGGGACTACAAGCATGTACCACCATGCCTGGCTAATTTTTGTATTTTTAGTAGAGACGGGGTTTCACTATGTTGGCCAGGCTGGTCTCGAACTCCTGACCTCAGCTGATCCACCCACCTTGGCCTCCCAAAGTGCTGGGATTACAGGCATGAGCCACTGAGCCCGTCCCACTCAGCTAATTTTTAAAAATTTCTTTGTAGAGATGGAAGTCTCGTGCTGTGTTTCCCAGGCTGGTCTCAAATTCCTGACCTCAAGCGATCCTCTCACCTCAGCCTCTCAAAGTGCTAGGACTATAGGTGTGAGCCACCTTTAAACTTCATATACCATTGGATCATGCCTGCCTCTCCATCCGCAACTCTTGCCCTTTGTACTCTGTACTCCAGACCACTTGGATCTTCTTTTAGATTCTATAACTTCCTGTGCTTTTTCTTGCCACAGGACCTATTATATAAGTGGTTCCCTCTTCCTAGAAGGTTCTCTTTCTGTTCCCCTTAACTCTATGGATCCTTGATACATACAACTTAAGCAGTACCTCAAAGATGCCTCTTTTGATTCCTTAGTCAATATTTGGCTCGTTTGTTTTGTGCTTTTGCCTGTCTTTCTTTCTTACCCTTCATCTCTGCAAAAATATATTTGGTTTTCTCCACTAGGTAAGTGGTTCATTAAAGTGGGTTTACATCTGGATTTGTTTACTATTATATTTCCAGATCCTAGCATAATGGCTGCCGTATAGTTGGTGCTTAAGAAATATTTATGGAATGAATCAATTTCTTACTGAATCCCTCTTTAGCTTTTTGGCAGCTGCCTACTTGGGCACTGAGAAACTTCGAGGGGCGACTACCTTAGTATTTAAATAGAATTACAGTTTACATCCACTGTACAGCTTGCTTTTTCTACTTGGGCATTCTTCCATTTTATTTATTTATTTATTTATTTATTTATTTATTTAGAGACAGAGTCTCACTCTGTTTTCTAGGGTAAAGTGCAGTGGTGTGAACACAGCTCACTGCAGCCTTGACCTCCTAGGCGCAAGGGATCCCTCTGCCTCAGCCTCCTGAGTAGCTGAGACTATAGGTGCGCACCACTACACCCAGCTAATTTTTAAATTTTTTTTGTAGAGACGGGATCTCACCATGTTGCCCAGGGCGGTCTGGAACCCCTGGGCTCAGTCCTTCCCCCTCATCCTTCCAGTTCTGGGATTACAGTTATGAGCCACTGTGCCTGGCTGTTTTCCTGTTTTAGAAAATTTGTGGATCTATTTTCTTCAGAGGCCTTATTTTGTATAGTCCATATATGTTTGTAATCATTTTGCTGAATATGTAACCCTTGCTTTCTAGTTTATCTAGCTTTGTCATTTATAATTTCTCTTGGTTCGTTTTATGATGTGTAGCTTATTCTGGTTATGTATTTGGTAAGAGTGTAGACTGCGTTTGTCTGGATAATGTGCAACTTGATTTTACTCAGGATACTTGTCTTTGCCACTTTGAAGTATAATTAGCTTGGGGAAAATATGAAAACATTAGGATAATAGATTTCAAATGTATCATTAAACATAAAACTTACTTTGATTTTATTTTGTTTTATTTTTGAGCCAAGGTCTGGCTCTGTTGCCCAGACTGGAATGCAGTGGCACAGTGATAGCTCACTGCAGCCTCTATCTCCTGTGCTCAAGCTATCCTCTGACCTTATCCTACCAAGTAGCTAGAACTGCATGTGCACGCCACCACACCTGGCTAATTTTCTTGATTTTTAGTAGAGACAAGGTCTCACTATGTTGCCAGGCTTGTCTTGAACTCCTAAGCTCAAGTGATTCTCCTACCTCAGCTTCCCAAAGTGTTGAGATTTGTAAGTTCATGGTGGTGAGCCACCATGCTGAGCTAGAACTTACTCCTGAAAAATTTTCTTTTAATTGTGCTCCAAACTAAAACAAGCCTCCTTATCTAAAATGTATACTAGATTAATTTTTCTTGGTGAAAAGCACATAACATTTATTTCCGGTTGTTTCTGTAAGTACTGCTATCCTCAGCTTCAATGCTTTTTTCTTTTAGAGATAAAAGAGGAGTAGAAGGTAAAAGAAAATGCTGGGATCTGACCGCTGTGTTGTGGAAGAATGGTTATCAGAATTCAAGGTAAATTAGATTGGAGATCAGAATGTATTATATTATTCTATATGTCAGTGATTCAAACAGTGAATATATGCTCTATGGAGAAACATATACAATTATGGTAGGAGCAGAAATGACAAAATACAAAATAACATGTTTGTATAATTGCAGTTCTTAAACATGATACTAATATACATAAAGGCTAGAAGGTGATATGTAAAAATGAAAGTAGTTGTTAGAATTGCTGAGATGACATTTTAAAAATATATTCAGTAAAAGAGAAGATCCACCAAGCTTTAATAAGACACAAAAATAGGATTTGGGCCTATGTTTTTCCATACTGTAATTAAAAAATAGTTTAGATGGAAAAGAATGTAATTTATGAATTATATGGAAATAAATGTTTTGGTAAAACATGAATGCAAGAATTGAAACATCCTACATTTTTTTTAGATTAGATTAATTTAAGATGGCTCATTTCAGGAAATCTTGGTATAATGTGTGATTTCTAATCAGTATTTATAGTTGAGTAGAAGAATTGTATACTATAACTCCTAACTTAATTTGTTTGAACTCTGATGGTTCTTTCTTTTCTTTTTTATTGAGATGGAGTCTTGATCTGTCACCCAGGCTGGAGTGCAGTGGCATGACCTTGGCTCACTGCGATCTCCATCTCCTAGATTCAAGCGATTCTTCTACCTCAGCCTCCTGAATAGCTGAGTTACAGGCGCGTGCCACCGTACCCAGCTAATTTTTGTATTTTTAGTAGAGACAAGGTTTCACTATGTTGGCCAGGCTGATCTTGAATTCCTGACCACAAGTGATAACGCTCGCCTTGACCTCCCAAAGTGCTGGGATTCCAGGCGTGAACAACTGCGCCCAGCCTATTTCTTTATATTAATTGTTTTTACTTTTCTTACTTGAGTTTATTATGAATCTATTCAAGAACTACTTGTGTAAAATAAAGTTCCTGACTTCTAAAGCGTTAATTTCACTTTTGTTTTGCTTTTGTGGTTTCTTTTAGGCATTACCTGACACTCAGATCACCAGTTACGCAGCAACTTTACACCGGAAAAAAACACTTGTACCAGCTCTCTATAAAGTTATTCAAGATTCAAATAATGAGGTAGGAGAGCTCAAGAAAAATAATTTCTACATAGTGACATGAAATATGTATGTCAAAACACATAAATTTTAAGTTTTATAGTTTTCTCTCCTTATGGATCTGGAAAATTTTCTTTCTGCCATTTTTCATTCTGATAGTTGCTTTGGCTTTCCCCATTCTCTGCCTTTCCATGTTTTGAAATGTTTTGGTCAAATTTTTTCCTGTTGAGGGTGCAGTATGTTTTGATTCTTGATTTGTGTGACCATCATTTCAGTGGATTATTTATTTAATTTGAGACTTTTCTGTTTCCTGTTCTGGAATGTTTCCTGCTCTGGAAGCTATATGTTAACTATATACTGATTTAGCTTTATTTATCTTAAGTATTCTTACAGTTATTTTACTGATAATATATAACTAGGCATAAAAACTCTAATCAGTGAAATCAAACTGAACACAAAATGATGCTGCTAGTAAATTTAGCCTGAAAAGGATCAGAGGAAGCACTTTTTAATCTAAATAGTCAAGATCAATAAACTTAGAATAAGAGTTTGTATTGTTTAACCTGTGATAAAAGGAAAAAGTGTAGTTATTGAATCTGTATGTTAACTTATGCAAAATACACACATTATCTTTCCATTAACACAGTAGTATAACATACAGTTTTATCACCACTGGATTCATATATGCTTAAAATGAAAATGAAAGGAACACACAGGAAAGTAGCTTCTTATCTTCCCAGATACAGCCTCCAAGAGTGCCTCTGCTGTGTACTGGAGTGAGTTTGAAGAAGTTCAGGTAATCCTCTCCTAACCAGCAGCTTAACTTAAAGTGCATCTTCATTTTTGTTCTATCACTAAAAGCTTGCTTATTGACCACCTTCTTTCCTGTCTCCTAAATTGCTGGCTCTCTGTTAGACTTGCATCTGTTGCTATTTGTAGCAGCAATTGCAGGATTCATTTGCTGCTTTTTCTCTTGCAGTGTATTTCTGAATGTTTTATAACTCTGGGTATGCGTAATGTACATATATGCATATCCATATCAGTCAAGAATTTTCAGAATTCTTTGTTTGAATAATGAATGTGTGTATTCCCTACCCCTTGTTTTGTGCTGTCTTACCCTTTAAGCTTTGCTTATTACAATTTATTTGTTTTAATGCTTTCTCTTTAGATTGTAAGCTCTTCATGGGCCATGGTCAGATAGTCTTTATTTGTTACTTCCCTAGAATCTAGTATTTTGTCATGTACATAATGAATATAGAATAATATTGATTGGAAGGAAAGTGAAGTACAAAATGAGATTCTAAAATGACATTTTCATTAGAGCTCACAAATGTACAAGAAGTACCCTTTTCCTATTTTTTGTTTAATACTTTGGAAGCTATTATATTTAAAAAGCTATTCTCATTACCTTCTGTTGTCATATTTCATAATAAAGTATGGGACTTTGGGGGTCTCATGGCTAGAAGTGGAAAAATTACAACTTGAGAGATGTGAGCTTAAGATCCAGCATTCATTACAATCAACCAGTTGCTAGAGCAGGTCTGAGTTTCTCTCCTGTCTCCTGTCAGGTTAGAAGGTTCTAACCATGTGTTCAGACTTCAGAAAAACAGAATGATAAATTCTATAGAATCTCAAAACAATTCTGGACTTCAGTCATAGAAGTCCTGATTTTAATCCTGATTTTGTTATATTCTGAAAGAAACAAACATACTATTTAGGTAACAAGAAATTATTTTGGAAAATTGTTATGTGCCATATTTAATACAAATTAGAACTTACATAATAGTCTTACATTTTTGCTTTAAAGACCATAAAAGTTCTTCAGAATGTATATTTCCTAGAAGTTTAGTATTACATGTCATGGTCAATCTGTGTTACAGCTTCAGTTTTAATCTCTAGACCAACATACTGCTTTATTTTTCTCCAGTTCTCACTTTCAGATCTCTTAGTCACTCTAGCAGTTCTATTTCACAGAAACCTCTAATCCATTAACCCTGTAACTTTTTCATGATTTGAATGCCTTTCCTCCTCTCCTCAGTGTCTCACTTCTCACTTTTTCTAACCAAATTTTCATGGCCCGTCATTACAGTTATTTTCTTGCACACATTCTTAGCTCCTTTGCCTCTCATTCCCTTAATTCATATTCATAATATCAACATGGGATGAAACCCAGCCATCCATTTATGCCATACCTGTACCTGGGCAGTTGAACATGCCTAGAGAAAACACAATTTCATTGATTTTCCTCCACTTTAAATTTAGGACTACAAATTTCAAATTGGCACACAAAATGTAGCTTTGCAGTCTTTACTTTATGGGTAGACTGTTTCACTGTTCATTTTACACCTTCTCCTTCTTCTTCATTTTCAGTTTGTTTTCTGTGTCATTTTAAAAAAGAAGAAAATATTTGGAAACTTTCATATTTTCCCATTCAAATCTACCACTCTATAGCACTCTGTTGCCTTTTCTACTGTTTAGTGGGTGAAGTGTTTCAGGTTGTATCAAAAGCCATATCTTCTTCTTAGGCCTGGATCCCATCTTCTCTAGCTACCTTGAGGACTCTGGTACTGCAATTATTCCTTCTCTCTTCCATCACTGATCTTTTTTTCTTTCCCTGATGAGTGGAATATGGTAAACAGCCATATTCTATTTTTTAAAAACTTTGAGCTTACCTCCTATTATATTATCTACTCCATTTCTCTGTCCCTATTCACAGATGAACTTCATAAAGAATTGCTTATTCATAGCCTCTGTCTACTTGTCTCTATTTCTTCACCTCACACTCTTTAACCCACTCAAGTTAGGCTTCATCTTCATTATTCCACTCAAAATACTCTCAGTGTGTTCATCAAATAGCATGTCTGTTAGTAATTATCATGTCAAAACAGTGTTTGCTAAATTTGGGAAAGGTGTCAGTTATGATTTTTTCTAATCCAAGGATAATAATTTTTAATACTTTTTGATGTGGGTTGTGGTGCCATTTAAGGGAGGTCAGAAGCATTTATTATATTAAGAATTTGAGAACATGGTGCTATGATTCATATGCTTCGACTTAAAGCTATTTATTTATTTTTTTTCCTGAGACAAGGTCTTACTCTGTATCCCATGCTGGGGTACAGTGGCACCATTATATCTCACTGTAACCTCAAACTCCTGGACTCATGTGATCCTCCAACCTCAGCTTCTCGATTAGCTACAAGCACATGCTACCACACCCTGCTAATTTTATTTTTTATTTTGTAAAGACAGGGTCTCACTGTGTTACCCAGGCTGGTCTTGAACTCCTGGGCTCAAGTGATCCTCCTGCCTTGGCCTCCCAAAGTGCTGGGATTACAGGCATGAGCTACTGAGCCTGGGCCACAATAAAAGATTTTAACACATAGCATTAGCATTTTTTTTTTTTTTTTAAGACAGGGTCTCACTTTTTCACCCAGGCTGGAGTGCAGTGACTCGAACACAGCTCACTATAGCCCAGCCTCCTGGGCTCAAGCAATTCTTCTGCCACAGCCCCCCAAAAATAGCTGGCACTACCTGGGCGTATGCCACCACACTGGCTAATTTTTGTAGTTTTTGTAGAGACAATGTTTTGCCACATTGTACAGGCTAGTCTCAACTCTAGGGCTCCAGCGATCAGCCTGCTTCAGCCTCCCAAAGTGTTGGGATTACAGGCATGAGCCACCCCACCCGACTGGCAAGTTTTTAACAGTCTTACTGATTAAAAGTTACTGAATTGCCAACATCTGTCCTCCCTGACTCACTTTAAAAAAAACAGAGTAATAATGTTCTTCACTGTGCTTAATTAAAATATAGTGTCCCACATGCCAGTGTATGTTGCTACTGAGAAAGAGGAGTTTAAGGTCTTCGTAAAAGAAAATCATCATGCTGGGCATGGTGGCTCACACCTGTAATCCCAGCACTTTGGGAGGTCGAGGTGGGCAGATCACAAGGTCAGGAGAAGAAGACTATCTTGGCCAACATGGTGAAACCCTATCTCTACTAAAAATACAAACATTAGCTGTGCTTGGTGGTGCACACCTATAGTTCCAGCTACTCTAGAGTCTGAGGCAGAAGAATTGCTTGAACCCAGGAGGCAGAGACTTCACTGAGTGAGCCAAGATCGTGCCATTGCACACTAGCCTGGGCGACAGAGTGAGACTCTATCTCAAAAAAATAAAAAAGAAAGAAATTCATCATAATTGTACCATGTTCCATAAAGTTTAGGGGAGGCAATCTTTGGAGAGTTTTTTTACTAAAAAGACTGAGTTTGAAATATGAGTATGAATTTTTACTAAACAAAATTTGTGAGAGCAACAAATTGTGTGTGTGTGTGTGTGTGTGTTTGTTTTGAGAAGGAGTCTTCCTCTTGTCACCCAGGCTGGAGTGCAATGGCACCATCTCAGCTCACTGCAACCTCTGCCTTCTGGATTCAAGCAATTCTCCTGCTTCAGCCTCCTGAGTAGCTGGGATTATAGGTGTCTACCACCATGCCCGGCTAATTTTTTTATTTTTAGTAGAGACGGTGTTTTAGCATGTTGGCCAGGCTGGTCTCGAACTCTTGACTTCATGATCCACTCACCTTGACCTCCCAAAGTGCTGGGATTCCAGGCGTGAGCCACCGTGCCCGGGAGAGAGCAAAAGTTTTTTACTTCTCCTGAAGAACTGAATATTGCTCTCAGTATTTAAGAAAGATGCCAGCAACTGAAAGTTTCCAAAAGTTTATTACTTGTTCATTATTGGCACTACATGGAATACACTGTTTTATAATTAAACAATCCATACCTCCATTCTAATATAAGAAATGTGGTAGAGTGGAAACATCAACTTGATGTCAGAATACCTGAATTTAGTGTCTTGTTTCACCACTAACTTCAACGACATTTGACAAACTGTCTGACTAGTCTAGACTTTCAGTGTAAGGGGAGAGTTGGAATTTTTTTTTCTTTTGTGTCAGTCTTGCTCTGTTACCCAGGCTGGAGTGCAGTGATGCTATCATGGTTCAATGCAGCCTCAAACTCCTGAGCTCAAGCCGTCTGCCCTCTTCAACCTCATGAATAGCTGGAGCTACAGATGTGCACCTTCACAACCAGCCTCTGGAATATTTTTTAAGATTTTAAAAACTGTTCTGATAGTGATTTCACATAAAGGACTTAGTGTTTACTAGACTAGGATCTGTATGTTTGTAAATGTTTTAAGCTTTAGAGTTTTTCTAGAGCTAAGCCTAACTCTTCTAAATATATTAACTGACATGGATTTGTTAAATTTTTATTTATTTATTTATTTATTTTGTTGTTAAATTTTTATAATCACGAGAGTGACTTTTTATCATAGAGTGTTAGATTATTACAGATGTATGTAATTGTATTCAAGCAGATTTCCAAATGTATATGTATTATTTTAATAATTCAGGATAGAGGAAAGCATATGAAATTACTGAACTGTTCTTTTTTTTTAAAGCGTTAGTGTTAAACTTTAACAATTATTTTATAGTCTCTTGTCAGCATTTTATATGAATTTTAAAGTCATAGACAGTTTTGTGCAGCCTATGGTTACTCCAGCAAACGTATTCCAAATTGGCAGTACATATTTAGGGAAAAGAGGGGATGTTTATTTTAACTGCTCATTTTCTTCAATTTTTTAGGTCATGAAGTTTTTCATAAGTCATATTGTGTGATATTATATGAAAAATTAGCCAGCTGAACACTGAAAAAGCTATTTCTGTATAATTTTCTCCTTTTTAAAATCTTTCACATAAACACAATAAGTAAAATTTAAGTCAGTTTTAAAACAGTGTGCTTTACTTGTATGTATTTTAAATATTAGCTAGAATTTTAGATGCATAAATATGTATTGCAAAAATCCCTTCTCCTACTGAGTGGTATATAATTTGTTTTAATGGAACGTGGACACTTTAATGAATTTTGTATTACAATGAAGACACTGAACACTTAGTGAAAATTACATCAGTACAATAAACTGATTCCACAGAACACTTATAAATGCATACATTTTCCTCCAAAGACACGTTTTTCACAGAAATGATTAACAAATGTTAAGTAACAAATGAGTTACACAGAATCCTTCATATTCCAAAATATCTACAAAATTTTTGACTCTACAGAAATTGATTGGCAGTGGTTGAAAAAAAGAGTTGCTTTGCCTAACAACATGGCTCTTACAAAATTCTGTATCAATACAAACTTTTCAGTAAGAGTGGTATATAATTTGTTTAAATCATAGTCTCAGTTGAGATTTTAAGTTTATTGCCAACAATATTATTCAAAATTATTTTATTCAATGGAAAGTTTTTTAAAATGGAGGATAGTAAGAGTTGGTTAGAAAGGGAAATTCTTCTCAAATGTAAATGTAGTACATTGGCTAAAGGACTAATAATCTAGTAAATTTAATAGTACAGTATACTGAATGGTACATTAATATATGGGCACAAAAGAATTTTTATAGTTAGTGGATTGATCAGTTTAATATGTGGTCTCTTTACACAAAGGTTTTGGTTAAATTAACTCAAAATGTGGAGAAATTAATATTAAGACTCTTTTAAAAATATTATACAGATATATGTACCTTAAAAAAAAAAAAACACAACCAAAAGAATTGAAATGACCAATGCACTTTATTTTCCTTTTAGCTCCTGGAGCCTGTCTGCCACCAGCTGTTTGAGCTCTATCGTAGCTCAGAGGTTCGACTTAAGAGGTTCACACTGCAGTTCTTGCCAGAATTGATGTGGGTTTATTTACGGCTTACAGTTAGCCGAGACAGACAGAGTAATGGTTGCATTGAAGCACTTCTATTAGGAATTTACAATTTGGTAAGTTGATGATGACAATTTGAGAAATTTTAAGTACTTTTTAAGGTCCTCTGAAATAATACTTAAGGAATGTTTAGAGGAAAATAAATTGGCTGGACACTGTGGCTTACGCCTGCAATCCCAACATTTTGGGAGGCCAAGGCAGGCAGATCACCTGAGGTCAGGAATTCAAGACCAGCCTGGCCAACATGGTGAAACCCTGTCTCTACTAAAAAGACAAAAATTAGTCAGGCATGGTGTTGTGTGCTTGTAATCCCAGGCATGGTGTTGTGTGAGGCAGGAGAATCACTGGAACCTAGGAGGTGGAGGCTACAGTGAGCTGAGATCGCACCACTGCACACCAGCCTGGGCAACAGAGTGAGACTTCATCTCATAGATAGATAGATAGATAGATAGATAGATAGATAGATAGAGGCTGGACATAGTAAATCATGTCTATAATTCTAGCACTTTGGAAGTCCAAACTGGGAGGATCACTTGAGCCCAGGAATTTGAGACTAACCTGGGCAGCTTGGCCAAACCTCGTCTCTATAAAAAATTAGCTGGGCATAGTGGCACATGCCTTTAGTGAATATCTCTTGGAGCCCAGGAAGTCAAGGATGCAGTGAGCCTTGATTGTGCCACTATGCTCCACCCTGGGCAACAGAGCAAGACCCCGTCTCAAAAAAAAAGATAAAACAATTCAAATGTCTATAAGCGTAATTTGTTTGAAGTAATTAGGTTGAGTACAGAGGTAGGTATTGATAATGCATTTTTTTGATAATGTATTTTATAAAGTATGTAAAACTATAATTTGATAGCATTATTAATATTTATTTCTTAAGTTTTTTTATTTGACCAATATTTATGAATGTTTTTGAATGTATGGCATTGAGTTGGACACTGAAAATATGGAGAATTACATGTGTGACACCTACTTTTAGGAAACTCTTGCTGTGCTCGAAAAGGCATGTTTACAGAAATAATAATGCAGTTTGTGTAATAAGAGGATTTTAGAGAGAAACTTAGATGTTAGCTGAAGTTATCATGACAAGCTTTATTGAGGTAATGGCATCTAAGCTGAGCTTTATGAAGAGGTATAGTTTTGGTCCGTTGGAATGAGGAGAAGGTGAGGTTTCAGGAAGCAGTTATCAAATGAACATAAGCAGAGAGGCAAGAGAGTCAAGTCATGTCCCGGAAATAGAAAGTAATTCTGTTTGAAGCACAGAGCATATATGCAAGCTGGAAACGACAATTTTGTATCCGTTTGAGAGAGTCTTTTTAAAGTGAAGAGTTTAGGTTTAGATTCTCTTTAAAGCAATTAGAGGGTTTTGAACAGAAGAATTGTATTATATATTAGGAAAATTAATCTGGTGGTATGCAGAGAGACTCTGGAATTATAAATTGAATGTAATCATCACTCCTTATATTTTAAAGGATATTCACATAATTAAGAAGAATGAGGCAAATGGACATGGGATTTCTGTTTCTCTGAGGGGAGGACATCAGTTACAGGAAAAAAAGTCCATATAGTATTATAGCATGTTATGATTTTTAAAATCTTAGTAAGAACACAGTGGAAACTTGAGGGAGAAATGAAACCATGAGCACTTCTGAGATACTAGGAGTTTTACATGGAACTTGAAGATTGAGACTTGATTACTTCTACAAAATGGGGAGGGTATGCTAGAAAAGTTACAAAGACTATATGAAACAAGGTGAAAAGGTGAAAAGGTGAGAGAGTTTAGGAACATGGGAACATGTACATAGCACTTTTCTGAAGACTTGGGTAGCAAGCACCTTTTCTTGTGTAATGCAAGGAAATAAAATAGCACAGCATCATATTTCCACTCCCATGTGCCTCTGTACAAAGTTGAGCAGTTACCTGAATTCATCAATGAAGAATCGTGAATTTTATGAATGTGTTTTGGAGTCATTGAGTGGGGTAGCGACTTAGAAACCAAAGTGTTATTTGTCATAAAAGTTGTAAATTGTTAATAGTTATTTGATAATCTATTATGTATTTGATAGTAGATGAAACTCTTTTCTTCCAAGGAATTAAGTACCATAAACATTATTATTCTATTTTTTTCTCATGATGTCCAGTTAAGCACCATTGGTATTGAAATTTCTGCCCCTTGAAGTCTTACATTTTGTTTATTTAGTATACATTGTAAACAAATACTCCACATAATAAAGTTTAGTTTTATAACTGAAAAGTAGTAAATATAAGAAAATTGAATCTCATGGTAAATATTCTTCACTTATGGTAAATATTCTTCTGTACCAGTGCTCACTGCTCTAAGTACTAGTTACTTTAAAAAATCGTTAACAAACATTTCCATCACTAGAAGTCTGAAGGAAGGAGCATGGGCTTTAGAATGACTTATATTCAGTTCAGAACCATGCCCTGCCACTTACTGGCTGTTTTAACTTTAGGCAAGTTACTTAATATCTTGACTTCAGTTGTAGCATAGATAAAAAAGAAAACATTGTTAGTAGGACTAAAAACAATTTGAAGAATTCATCATGCTGCCTAGGGTGTTTATAAATGTTCATCATTATTATTACCATCAAAATTAAAAGTAGATTTGAAAAAAAGTGAAAACGGGTGTAGGATGAAATTCTCTGCTTTCCTAACTTCCCTGAATTTTTTTTTTCAAGTAGGAAATTTGTTTTATATATCACTATGTTTCCTATAGTGCTTACCAGCAGATACTTAGTAAAAGTTTGTTGATTTAATAATGAAGTTTGGTATTTTAGATTATGCTTAGCATTAAGCTATCATTTTTATTAATGTGTTTCATGTAATAAAATTCAATAATGGGACACGTGAAGCAAACATTTTGCAAAGTGTCATGTTTGACAAGTTGTTGGCATAACTTGTTGGTGCTGTGGTTCAATTATCTTTTGAGAATGCAAAATTAGTACACTATGGAAAAATCCTCAATTATGTGTCGGAAATGTAACCCTAGGCTTTGGGTGCCTTTTAATTCCCCTGATATCTGTGTTCTTTCTTTTCTGTGGTTCTCAGTTTTTCTTAGTCACACCAGGAGTTGCCCATATTATCATTTTTTTTTTTTTTTTGAGACTGAGTTTCCCTCTGTCACCCAGGCTGGAGTGCAGTGGAACAGTCTCAGCTCTCTGCAACGTCCACCTCCCGGGTTCAAGTGATTCTCCTGCCTCATCCTCCCAAGTGGCTGGGATTACAGGCATGTGCCACCACGTCCAGCTAATTTTTGTATTTTTAGTAGAGACTGGGTTTTGCCATGTTGGCCAGGCTAGTCTTGAACTCCTGACCTCAAGTGATACTGCCTGCCTCAGCCTCCCAAAGTGCTGGGATTCAGGAATGAGCTACTGTACCCAGCCTGATGTTTCTTCTTTTTAGGTCATGCAGCTACTCAGTCTCTGACTACCTACCATGTGGGTCTGGTAAGGGTAGTCTTCTGTCTTTGAATTTTATACCAGTGATGTATGCTAGTATTAGTTGTAAGAGACATAGACGAAAATAAGACAGTGGGGAAAAGGATTGCACAGTTTTCACGCCTCTGATTGCCATCATCTGTAGGCACATGTTTATTTATAACAGGAATATTGGAGGTGCCAAAGACTGGAGAAATGAAGAATACCATTGTCCATTGTCCTTTTTATGAAAATAAAGTGCTTTTTTAAAAAATCACAAAAACTTTCTTATAGTTTAGTAAAAATTACTAAATATGAATTTATTTTAATGACTTAGACTAATAATCTTTTTTGTTTGTTTGTTTTTGAGAGAGGCTATCACTCTTTCACCCAGGCTGGGTTGCAGTGGGGGAATCTCAGCTCACTGCAACCTCCACCTCCCAGGTTCAAGGTATCCTCCCACCTCAGCCTCCTGGGCAGCTGGGACTACAGGTCTGCGCTACCATGCCCAGCTAATTTTTGTATTTTTTGTAGAGACAGGGTTTTGCCATGTTGCCTAGGTTGGTCTCAAACTCCTAAGCTCAAGCGATCTGCCTGCCTTGGCCTCCCAAAGTGTTTGAATTACAGGCGTGAGCCACCAAACCTGGCCCAATAATTATTAATTGTGGCTAATTTCAGGTCATTAGTTTATTACTGAATGATTGAAAGTTTCTTTTATTCAAGATTCATTCTTAAATGTTCTCGCCATTTTTTTAAAAAAGGATAACTGTGAGGTGTTGTATTTGTTAATTAACTTGATTGTGATAATCATTTCACAGTGTATACATATATCAAAACATCATGTTGTATGTCATAAATATGTAATTTTCATTTGTCAGTTATACCTCAGTAAATCTGGAAAAAAATCATTCTGTATTAAATCAATGTGTTTTTCTTATTTTTGTAAGTGTGAATCTCTTGGATAAGACCTTTTAATTTTAATCTGTTTAGCATAGCCATGTTTGTGCTAAAAGATCTAATCACTTGTAATCCTATCGTGTATGTAATTTTCACATGAAAATTGAGTTGTTTGCCTGCTTCATGTCTTTGCTGTCATGTTGTATTTGGTTTAGTATAATATTGTACTCAATATCTATCTCTGTGGATTATAACTCTACTACCAAAGAGTACGAATTTGCTAACAAGTTAGAAAAGATAAACTAGGGTGGTAATATTTTTATCTATTACTATTTCTGAGAAGTCTTCCTACTGCCAACTATATATTCTGTAAATTAAGAAAGTAATTATTATTTCTTGTAGATCTGTGATTATTTCATTATCTTTGTATATTTTTTGACTATAGGAAATTGCCGATAAAGATGGGAACAATAAAGTTCTGTCTTTCACTATCCCTTCCTTATCCAAGCCTTCAATATACCATGAAGTAAGTAACATCGGAAAGGTGAAATTATTTTAAATTATATTGAGTAACAAATTAAAAAGTCAGTTTCTTATTAGAGATAAATATTCCTAAAATATCTTTACTGATTTGCTTCTTAAAAGTGAATGTTTATTATTAGTGATGTAAGACTGAGCTGTGACGAGAGAGGCAGAAAATAATGAAAAATTTTCTCTAGTTTTTTGTTTTTTTATTCTTCTACCAGTATCAGTTTTTACTCTCATTAGTCTTCTTATGAATTTTAAAGAACATTCTTTATATTTTTATTTTTAATTTTTAAAATCTGATAAGCCTTAAAAATATTCTTGAATTTTTAAAGTCTTCCATACTACTTAGAAATCACCTATGTTAGATTGATTTGTTTGTTATTCTTTATTATTCTAGGAAAATAACTACTTAAAAGAATGTTGACACTCTAATTGTTGAATTTCAGTTTAGAGAAATCTAATTGCTGCATTCTAGGTATTCATTACATTATATTTTTTTGCTTATATCTATTTGGTTGAAGAATTTGAGAACACTGATAATCATGTAGATAAATGAAGCCTGTTAAGCTGAACTTTTTCTACTTTCTGTCTTTAATTAAAATCCAATAAGAAATCATTATGAATCAAACTTCTGGTCTGCAGTGGTCTTTATTGCCACTACACTAAGTTGTGAGGATAACATTTAAAGAAACTTTACTAGTAGTATAGACATTATATTCAATTTTCCTGTCAACACACAGTATCCTATCTCATAACTCTTTGCACTATTAATTTTCTTAATTCCCTGGGACTTTGTTTTGTGTTTAAAATAGAATGTCTCCCATCTAGCCAGGAATCATTTTAGCACAGAATATTTCTGAATAATAGATTTTAATTAAGTTCTGTGTATCATGTTATGAAATAAAATGGAGAGTAGTAAAGTATTAATGAATTTTTTTTTTGAGATGGAGTCTCGCCCTGTCTCCCAGGCTAGAGTACAGTGGCTTGATCTCAACTCACTGCAACCTCTGCCTCCTGTGTTCAGGCAATTCTTCTGCCTCAGCCTCCTGAGTAGCTGGAACTGTAGGCACAGGCCATGACACCTGGCTAATTTTTTGTCTTTTTAGTAGAGGTGGGGTTTCACCATGTTAGCCAGGATGGTCTCACCGTGTTAGCCAGGATGGTCTCGATCTCCTCACCTCGTGATCTGCCCGCCTTGGCCTCCCAAAGTGTTGGGATTACAGGCATGAGCCACCGTGCCCAGCCTGGTGGTTGTTTTAACTTTAGAAACATGATCTTAATTATGTTTGAGACATTTAAAGAGACATTTGGGCTGGGCGTGGTGGCTCATGCCTGTAATCTCAGCACTTTGGGAGGCCAAGGCGGGTGGATCACTTGAGGTCAGAAGTTTGAGACCAGCCTGGCCAGCATGGCGAAACCCCGTGTCTGCTAAAAATACAAAAAATTAGCTGGATGTGGTAGTAGATGCCTATAATCCTAGCTACTCGGGTGTCTGAGGCACAAGAATCACTTGAACCCAAAAGGCGGAGGTTTCATTGAGCTCAGATCATGCCACTGCATTCCAATCTGGGCGACAGAGTGAGATTCTGTCTCAAAAAAAAGAGAGATACTTGATCATTGAATCAACATTGTTGTATTATTTAATTATAAGCAGTCGTACTCTATTCTGGAATATGGACATTAAAGTGGATGTGTTTTTTCAGCAACTTTTCTTACTCCCCTAAATATAGATTTATTGCATAATCTTTTAAAAAATGTTTTTTAGTTTTATATTTTACAGGCAATTTCTACAAGAAGCTATAGAATTTATATAATTGAGAAATGGAAAAGATTCGGAATCTTTTCTGTGAAGAATGAGAAGAATAAATGATCTGAAACTGAATAAATAAAAAAATAAAACAAACTTTTGTGGAAAAGAAAATTAAATACTATTACATGATATAGATTTTTACTTCATGGTAGAGACATTGTCTCATACTGTACCTTATTTTTGTAGCCTTCAACAATTGGATCCATGGCTTTGACCGAAGGGGCATTGTGTCAGCATGATCTCATTAGAGTTGTTTACAGTGATCTTCATCCTCAGAGGGAAACATTCACTGCACAGAACCGGTAATGGTCAAAACTGTATATAGTAACAACTTGTATGTATGTATGCATGTACATATGAATGAATGACAGAGTCTCATTCTGTCACCCAGGCTGGAATGCAGTGGCACAATTCTTCTGCCTCAGCCTCACAAAGTGCTGAGATTATAGGCATGAGCCACTGCACCTGGCCCATTTATTTATTTATTTATTTATTTATTTATTTATTTATTTATTTAGAGACAGAATCTAGTTATGTTGCCCAGGCTGGTCTTGATCTCCTGGGCTCAATGTGATCCTCCCACCCTAGATTCCTGAGTAGCTGGAATTACAGGCATGCACCACTGCACTCAGCTAACAATTGTTCATTTATGCTTAGTAGTTAACTATAATTACTTCAGTCAAGTTTAGTATAAGAAGGGTCCAAACGGTAAATACATCGTAGTCATGAAATACCATTGTCTAATGTTTGGTATTATGTTATGGTCATCTTGTATAAAGCAGTGTAAAAAGTAAATGTGCAGTCAGTCAAACCAGGATTCATATTATAGTACTGCAATTTAGCAATTTCTGTCAGACAGTTAATCTGCTTTCTACACCTTGCTTTCTTGGATGTAGAATGGGATTTGTACCTGAAGTTTGAAAACTACAAAGTTTGAGGGACAGGTTCCAAAACTGTCCTCACTTCTGACATGAATTGACAGTTTTGGGAGTTCCCAAAACCAAACTCTTGTTTGATAATTTGCTAGAAGGACTCACTTCTAGCAAATTCACTGAAAGCCATTATACTCACAGTTATGGCTTATTACAGGGAAAGAATACAGACTAAAGTCAGCCAAAAGAGACACATATAGTAGAATATGAAGGATTTCAAACACAAAGCATCTGTTGTCCTTTCCTGTGAAGTCGTGATATATTACCCTCCTAGCATCAATGCATGACAGGAAACACAAAGTATTGCTAAGAAGGGAAGCTCATTTAAACTCTGCTTTTCAGAGTTTTTTATTGAGGCTTCATTATGTAGGCATGATTGATTAGGTTCATTGCCCACTTGGTTGATCTCAGCCTCCATGTGGACTGATGCAGCGTGACCCAGAGCTGCCACTTTAAATCACGTGGTAGTTCTTTCTTGAATGACCAACTCTACCCAAGAAAGTCAGATGTGGTCAGTCCAGCCCCAAGTTCTGGTGTTACCAGTCCCTGCCCTAACAAAGACTCACTTTATCAGATATGACATAGATTAACTTCCTAGGAGCAAAGGCTATATCTCTCTTTGGGGAAAGCCAGTTTATAAATGGTCCATGAATTATTATGGTTCAATTTAAGGTTTTTCAACTTTACAGTGGTATGAAAGCAATATGCATTCAGTAGAAACTTTACTTCAAGTACCCATGCAACCCTTCTCATTTTCACTTTCAGTACAGTATTCAGTTAATTACATGAGATACTCAATTTTATGATAAATATAAAATAGGCTTTGTGCTAGATGATTTTTGCCCAACTGTAGGGCTAATGTAAGTGTTCTGAGCACATTTAAAGTAGGCTGGACTATGCTATGATGTTCAGTAGGATAGGTGTATTAAATGCATTTTTGACTTACGATATTTTCAATTTACAGTGGGTTTATTGGTATGCAATTCCATCATAGGTCAAGGAACATCTGTGTTTACTATACAGGCTGTCTCCTGGTCTTTGGCCAAGGCTCAAAAATGATCACGTTTATCTGGGCATCTGCATTTTGTATAGCATTTATATGACAGCTACTATAATTTTGAATATGCCTAACACTTAGAGGAGCAAGTGTACGTTACAGATAGATTTAAAGATATAACTAATTCATCCTTTAACATTTGCATATATTTTCATATTTTTTGCACAAATTTGATTGCTTCACATCTCTTCTTGATCTACCTTGTGATAAACTTGTGCAGAACTATTTGTCACAGAAATTAGCTAATGATAGCTAAATCTAGTTCTTCCTTGGGGCAAATGATTTTCCATTAGTGTTCATTCTAAGGAGGCTTTAACTCAATTTCCAATACATATGACAATATTATAACCTTACCAATGATGCCAGTATTATACCATGTCACAGGAGGGCAGTAAATGAAACCTGAAAAATAAGAGCCAAAGAGACTGACACATTCATAGAGTACCAGTCAGTCATTAACAGTTATCCCAGTTCATCATCATATATGGCCAAAGTATCTCCCAGAGAGGTCACTCAAGTTTACAGACTTCTGTTCAACTTTATTAAGTTCTGAAAGCAGGAGTGGTCTCACAAACATGACTTTTACTCTTTCAGGCATATAGTATAATTGAGCTAATAGTATCATCTCTTGCTCCGAGCCTCTTCTAAGGTGCTAATGTATTTCCCACGTTGCACAACTCATTTATTCATTTAAAAACTCAGCTACTATTTCTCTCTCTCTGTTCACTTATACTCAAACTTTTCTACCTTTGGAGACAGATTAGGTTTGGCCATTGTGTTGGTCCCTATTTCTGGCAGCAAAGCTAGCTAGCAAGTGCCTCCCCATCAGTTTACTTCCAAGGACATAGGGTAGATTTACATGAAGAACTAATGTGCTATCACAACAACTAAGCAATAAATGTAAATTCTCTTTCAACTTTAATTTTGCCAGATGGAATGAAGGCACATCCTTTACCATCAGGCCTTTAGGAATTCTGACATAAAGATTTGAAGGTATAGTTCCAGTTTTTTTTTTTTTTTTTTTTTGAGACAGAGTTTCACTCTTGTTACCCAGGCTGGAGTGCAATGGTGCGATCTCGGCTCACTGCAACCTCCGCCTCCTGGGTTCAGGCAATTCTCCTGCCTCAGCCTCCTGAGTAGCTGGGATTACAGGCACGTGCCACTATGCCCAGCTAATGTTTTGTATTTTTAGTAGAGACGGGGTTTCACCATGTTGACCAGGATGGTCTCGATCTCTTGACCTCGTGATCCACCCGCCTCGGTCTCCCAAAGTGCTGGGATTACAGGCTTGAGCCACCGCGCCCAGCCAGTTCCAGTTTTATTGCTTAGGAATCGTCTCTGCTCCTTGGATCCACAGTTGAAGTACTGGTACTGCAACAACTGCCTTAGGTGGGAAAAAAATGTTGAGGTGATGTGGAAAAGAAGGGAAAAACGTATACTAATAGCACCACCTGCTGTCACTATGAGAAGAACAGAGTAGTGATGATGACTATCCCAGCATCATCTCTCCACCACCTCCTCCCAAATCCCCTCAGAAAAACAGAGGAATCTCTCCAGTGATGATCACCCCTTACTCGGTGCACCTCAGGTTAAGGACACAGTCATGAAAGCTTATCAGCCAGCCCTTCGTGCCTGTATCTCACCCCAGCCTTTTATTTTTTATTTTTATTTATTTATTTATTTTGAGACAGAATCTTGCTCTCTTTCCAGGCTGGAGTGCAGTGGCATGATCCCGGCTCACTGCAACCTCTACCTCCTGGGTTCAAGCGATTCTCCTGCCTCAGCTTCCCGAGTAACTGGGACTACAGGCGCGTGCCGCCACTCGTCCAGCTAATTTTTTGTATTTTTTTTAGTTGAGATGGGTTTCACCATATTGGCCAGGTTGGCCTTGATCTCTTGACCTTATGATCTGCCTGCCATGGCCTCCCAAAGTGCAGGAATTACAGGTGTGAGCCACCGCATCTGGCCACCCCAGCCTTTTAGACCAAAATGTCTTACTTGATTTTTCTAATTATTTTCTTTTTCAATTGCTTTCATTCCATGCAATTGCTGTTCCATTACCCTGAGGATGTCTCTTTGCCCATTGTTGGACTTTATGGTCTTTAAGTGTGTTTCTTGCTCCAAAAATGTAACTCAGCAGTCCGTATGGGTACAATATCTTCTGGTCCTTTTACAGTACTCTGAACATTTGATCTACAATCTGATAAGCAAAGTGTAATGCAGAGTGTCTGTTCCTGTTAGGACCCATTTGTGGCCTTTAGAGACTGCAGGCATCAGTTCAGCTTGCCAGCTATGTGCAGGGCCTTCCCCCAGAGGAATATCCCCCATAGCCATCTACAGTCTTTGTCTCTTTTATTGGCATTTTATGCCCCAGAGGGTACAAAAAGAATACATCTAAATTCAACCCATTTCTGCATTGCAGCAGTACCACCATGTCCACTCATTTCATGGACCCAAATGATCACTCCAAGTGAGTACATAGGGATATTTGCCCATAGGTACCAGTCACCTGATTCTGGAAGGGGGTTCTCCTGAAATGCATTGATGTTATCCTACTTACACATTCTTCAAATTCCCATAGCGATTTCTATATGGCTGTTTTCCATATACAGGCACCCCTTTCATAGGCCAGTTTTATATTACCCTTCTGCCTGACCACATGGCCAGACCATTGGCCACCACTCATGAGTTGATAAAAACCCAAACAGGCTGGGCATGTTGGGTCACGTCTGTAATCCAAACACTTTGGGAGGCCAAGGTGGGTGGATCACCTGAGGTCAGGAGTTTGAGACCAGCCTGACCAACATGGTGAAACCCTGTCTCTACTAAAAATACAAAAAATTAGCCAGGCATGGTGGTGGGCACCTGTAATCCTAGCTACTTGGGAGACTGAGGCAGGAGGATTGCTTGAACCCAGGAGGCAGAGGTTGCAGTGAACTGAGATCGCACCACTGTATTGCAGCTTAGGCAATAAGAGCGAAACTCTGTCTCAAAACAAACAAACAAACATAGCAGCAAACTGCATGCAGTTCAGCCAACCTAATAAGCTGATTTGTTTTCTCTCTCTCTCTCTCTCTCTCTCTCTCTCTCTCTCACACACACACACACACACACACACACACAGAATCCTGCTCTGTCACCCAGGCTGGAGAGTGCAGTGTAGTGGCATGATTTGGTTCACTGCAACCTCTGCCCCCCCGAGTTCAAGTGATTCTCCTGCCTCAGCTTCCCAGCCCAGCTTTTTAAAGAATAAATCTTGGGCTGAACACAGTGGCTCATGCCTGTAATCCTAGTGGATGGATTGAGCTGGGAG